TGTAGTACTTTGGGTTGGCATTTAGACTTTTTTCCGTCTCTGGCTTAGGTTGGAAAGACTGGTTCATACTTGCAGTTCCTAAGGATTCTCTTCCGCATGCTGATCCGGTTGCTGGAGGTAGATGTGTATGATGAAGAAGAGATTAATGCCAGTAAGTATTTAGTAGGTATTATTAAGATTTGTCATAAAGAGTCTACATTGTGTATTACTCAGCAAGGAAATTTTTAGGCTCACTAAAAGACTATGAATTATACCTACTGCATGTTCTCTCCATTGGTGTGTAGCTGGACTCTAGGTGTCTGCATATATTTCAGTATAGATTGATAAAAAAGTGAACTTTATAATGGGCTTGTCTGAGAGCTGTTACGTGTATTTTGGGCTGATATGTTTGTGTAGCACTCAAACAAAAGTGAGCACAAAGCTGTAAATGGGCAACATCTGCCCATGTTCTGTCTCCTTGCAGGTTTTCAAGTGCTGGCTGCTTTTAAGCAGACAGAACATTTTGTTCCTGGCTGAAACCTAACTATTATTTATGTTTATTTAGAAGCTATATACCCATTTTCAGTAAGATTGTCTCCTGTCTGCAGTTTGCAGGTTTTATGCTGAGGATAAAGGGGAGCAGGATCCTCTTTGGATTTGTGCTCATTTGTCAGATCTCACAGATCCATTAACTGCCATGGCAGGACTTTGCCTTGAGAAAAGCAAAACCTTTTAAAAATTAGTCCTCTTTAGTCCTCTTCATGGTGTTCTGGTACATAATTCTCATGACCATTAGACTGACAACCTGAAAATGTAGTGTTGAACCTTTGAAAAGGCTAATATTTCTGTTCATGCAGTCCTATTTAATGAAAAAGAAAGAATATATTTTCCTTTTATTTGAAGCTTTGGGGGATGTAATTCCTTTGTTATTCGAACTAAAGTACCACAGAAACTTAGGATGAAATATTAAAATGCAAGAGATGTTCTGCATCATGCTGACTGGCCTGTTGAGATCATGGCAGTGTGTCACACCCCTGCCAGGAATGCATGGAACTCCAGCAGAAGAGAAGTTTGGGTTTGGTTGGGGTTTTTGTTTGTGGTTTTTTTTGCTCCCACTACTTCTGTTGGAATGCTTCTCCAGAGCCTTTGTGTTCTCAGTATTTTAGATACTACTTTATTCTACACCCCAAATATGTTTCTGTCCCATTTATTCACATTCTGTTTGGGGCTAAAAAGCATAGTAATTTAAATTAAAATACTTTTTATTTTATTTGAGGTTTGTTTCTTTGGAGTGGTCAGGCAGCTATCTTACCTCCCCTTCAGCATTCATCTAGGTAGTCTGGATCTTCTTACAGGATTCTCACAAATGACAGGCTCTTTATTTTCTTATCAGTTTGTTACTCTGGCCTACATATCTATTTTCAATTTATCCTTCTGGTGCATGGGGGAGCAGAACTGAATGTTCACAACATGTGAATGTGAACAACAGCTCATGTATTTCCCTGCCCCCACTGCAAGCCTCATGACTGGTGAAACCTATGAATGCACTGGTCTTTTCCATTCTCCCTTTTCACTGGCATTGATGCTTAGCTTGTACTCCAAGGTTTCTCAGCAACTCTGTCATTGGAGCTCCCAACCTGCTGCAGAAGTGCTTGTTATTAATCCTTGAATATACACGTGACTCACATTTTTTCTGTTAAATGTCACCAAGTTTTTGTTGTTACAGTTGTTGAGGCCATTGAATTCTTTCCAGCTGATCTTTGATTCTTTCTCCATGTTGGCATTGTGCCACCAGCAAACTTAAGCCAATTTTTTGTTTAAGCTGGTGACATTAGTGAAAATATTAAACAGTGTGCCCCTCTACAGTATCACCTGCCTTAAGGCTTACAATGTTACATGCTGCCATCTTCTATTTAGTCAACTCTTTACAGACATTTTCTTCGGCTGTATTAATAATTTGTCTTATAGTATCATACCAAGTACTTGAGTCCAGAAGGGTAAGATTCATTGCATTTCCTTTGTTCAGAGAAATAGGTATTTCATGGCCATATAATGAAAATAACACAGGATTTCTTTAGTCAACCTATTTGCATTTTATCAAATTTTTCATTTAATTCAACATCTTTAATTACTTCCTTCACCCTCTCCCAATTTTGAATATTACCCAGGTCAAAGTAATAGACTCAGAGCTTTTTAGATTACTGTCTCTCCTCTTGCATCAGGGTAGGGTGAGCATGTGCTCGTCCGCATACCCAACCTTCTTTTCACTAGAATTCTCTTTTCTAAAATCAGTAACCTCAGTTACACACCTACTTTCATGTGTTCTGCCATCTCATTTTAATCTGAATTGACTCATGTCCAAGCTGCATTCCAAAGCTGTTTTCTTAGGCCAGTGTTTTCTACCATTCCCATTACTTAAACTTGATTTTTTACTTTAGACTTATCTCCTTTGGATCAATACAGAAAACTTTCATTTGATCCTTGCTGGCCACATCCTATTCCATAATAGGAGTGTGTCTTCTACTGTCTTTATCACTACTAGTTCATGAATGTATACAGCCTCTCTTTCCTTGCTTTCATCCTTCTGCCTTTGGATACTTTTGCTTCTCATTTACCCAGTGCTCTTCATTCCATCGCAGAAAGATTCAAAACCACTACACCCATGCCTTCTGCACAAATAGGACCATTCATCTGAGCATTTTATACTTGAACCAGAGTGAATTCTACCTCAGCAGCATGATGAGGGACAGTGCAGGAAGGTACCTAGGAGGCTTCTTCTCCTGCATACATTTTCTAAGGAATTGCCATTTCTTTGAGGTGGCTTTATGTGGATTGTAATTTCACTGGTCTTATTTACGATGTTCAGAGATATTGCCTGTGTGAGTTCCAGTGCAACTGGAAAAACTGGTAAAGCAGCAACCATCACAAAAGCATTGTTTGGTGAGTATCTGATTCTGCTTACCTGGAGTGTGTTGTTGCAGATCATACAGAAAACAGTGAAGTTACTCAGTCTAGCAATGACCACTGGCCAGACATTGAGATCTTCAGCAAAATATCTTTCGACCTGAGTGTACATGACCCTAAGTACAGAAATATAAGTCCTGTATACACAGAACAACTCTCAAGAGTGAAACAAGGTGGGTAAAATGTAGACTTTTTAAGGAATATTTTCCTACAGAGACTCAGTGTTTATTGGTTCATTTGAACAGAAGTTCACAAGAACCTTTAATCTCCCAAAATTAAGTGGAAAAAAAATTTATGTATTCTTTACAGTTTTTACCAGAATCAAAATATCTGGTTTTTAACGCTCCTAAAATTTCTGTTACTCCTTTTCTTTCTGCACAGAAACAAACAAAGAAACAAAATCAGAGGAACCTAAGAAAAGGGAGACTGTGTCCATGATGCTGACTAAATATGCAGCTTACAACACCTTCCATCACTGTGAGCAGTGCCATCAGTACATGGACATTAATCCTGCTGCACAGGTTGGTGTCAAGGTCTAAGGGTAAACTGCATCCTTGTTTTTCTATTATGGTTTCTGCAGGCATACTGCTGTCATCTCAGGACTCATGCTTTCACCTTCCCTCAGATGGAATTGTTTAATTCTTCCATTCTCAGGGGAGATATTGAGCTACAGACCCAGGAGCATCAGCTGTGTCTGCCACGTTCTGAATGAGCAGTTTTCCTCTGCAGCTGCCTCTGGCAAAGGGTGAATATTGTGATGAGTTTTCTGAAGCCAAAGCATTATTCAGCCGGCCCAGAGGGTTTGCAGTGTCTCAAGGGAGAAAACTAAAAATGAAGAGAAATGCTTGTCTAACCTAAATGCCAGCCATCCACACCTGTGATGGGAGATGGCAAGGCCTCCTTCTTCCTTGCTTTGTATGTAACTGAGCATCCTTCTCAGCAGTAGCTTATGAGTCGCTGGACAGAAATGAACATTTTAATCTGTTTAGTTAAAAAAACCTTTCATTTCTAAAGCAAACAGTTCTGCTCACAGAGGACTGGCAAGTAAGATTATTCCCGGTTAATAGTTCACACATTATTTCTTAACCACCAGCAGCAATTTACCTGGAAGTTTCTTATCTCCATTCATTCATTCCTTGCTCGCTAATGTTTTCCAGCAGCTTGCTATTAAGGTATGGCAGTGTAGAGACCCCGACCTGGCAGTGCACAATGCCAGTTCCCTCAGAGCAGCACCAGCAGGTCTGATCTAAGCCTCATGCTTCATTAAGTCCGTTGACAGAAGCAAATCCTCCCCAAGGACATCTGTTGTTCCCTCCTCTTATCTTTGTGCATGTGGTTAAACATAACTAGTACTAATAAATATAAACATCTACTTCTATGTGCCAGTGTAAGTTGTGTATATAGAATTAAGATAATTAAGCTCAGAGAAATTACGCTTTCAGAGGGGGGTCACTGGATAGCAAACATTATGAAGAGAGAGGGATTCTTAAATGCTTTAATAAAACCTAAATAAAGTCCCTTGCATTTTCCGCCTTAGGCTAATTATTTCAATTTTTAGCAAAATATTATAGAAAACTCATTGGTAAGAGTGATTTGACTTTATAGTAAGACAGATGCTTTTGTAGGATGAAATCTATCAGCTGTGTAGGCATTTGTATGCACTTACATGGTTCACTGAAGTGCTGTGAAACTTAAGTTCACCCACATTCTTCATAGCCTTGTTAATGGTGTGGTCTGCTTTGGTCACACAACTACTTAGGAGAGAATTGCCACAGTAAAAATACTACACTGACACCAGTACAGCAGTGCTCCTGCTGAGGTGTCTGAATGACAGTGCATGCTGCTGTGGAGGCACCCCCACATACTGCACTCCTCTTTGAACCTTGTAGGTAAATTGATTTGGACAGTTTTTTTCCTAGTATGTATGCATGTTTGTGTGTGTGAGTGTGTGTGTGTGTGTATCTGTACATTTGACTCCTCTTTGTAAATACTGAGAAATAATTGCTAGCTGAAATGGACTTCAGAAGAGTCCAGTTTGGCCAAAGACCATTACTGATACAGAAAATTGATTCCTTTAATAGCAAGGCCTCAATAATGTACCTTATTGTGAGGGAAATGATTACTGAAAAAGAGTGGTTTGGATGTTCTTCTCTGATGGCTTCCAGTACTGTGACTGTAAGAACTCCTCCTCCTTACAGACTCCTTATGTGTCACCTGCTTGGAAACCTCTTTTTGCTGCTTGTTTGTTTTCAGGTGTCTGACTCCACTCTGCATGCATTTACGTTTTCATCCTCGATGCTGGGAGAAGAGGTTCAGCTGCATTTTATAATCCCCAAGTCCAAAGAGAGCCATTTTGTCTTCAGCAAACAGGGAAAACATCTCGAAAGCATGCGACTCCCACTCGTTTCTGACAAGGTGCGTGTGCTGCTCTCGCCCATCTGCTGCTTGCACTCAGCTTGGCATACATATGCAAATTAACGGGGGCAGGTTTTTTCTGTTGTCTTTTTGTTTTAAAGTCCTTTGTATAAATCTTGCCTGACTGTCCTTAGAATGTATTTTTTGAGGGCAAATATTCCTTTTTTCTGTTTCTAGCGTCCAGTTCATTTGTGTTTCAATAATCAGTGATGTTAAAATCTGGTATAAAAAATAAACAAATAGAAGTCCTTACCAGGAATAATCTGCTTTTTTTAACCTAATGTTGCCAAAATACCCTGTGTTCCAGCAGAATTTGAATGCAGTCAAGAGTCCCATCTTCACCCCATCGAGTGGACGTCATGAACATGGACTCTTGAACCTCTACCATGCCATGGAAGGCATCAGCCACCTGCACCTCCTGGTAGTCAAGGAGTATGAAATGCCACTTTACCGGAAATACTGGCCCAACCACATCATGCTTGTCCTGCCAGGCATGTTCAACAATGCTGGAGTTGGTAAGAGACACCATCAATGCATTGCTGTGAAGGTTCCAAAATCTACCTTGGACAATGTGGATCATGCTGTTGCAGGAAACCATGCAGCAGCTCCTCACATAACTGCTGTGAGAGCAGCAGCGATGTCTGTGCAAAAATGTGGAAGAACTGCTGTCAGGGGCATGGAATATATGTTTGCATGGATCAGTGCCTTCTCAGCCTAAAGTCTGATGTTTTGTGGGCCATAATTCACTCATTTTACTCAACCCTGCTGTGTAAATTCTAGATGTTTTACACATATTCAAATTGCAACGTTTTAGTTAGCAGAAGGTAAATATTAACTGCAGCTGAACAAAGGGGGGTTGAACTTTGGAATTTGTTTTCATGGATGCTGATTTTATTCTGCAAGAAGTTTTAAGTAGCTTCAGTTTTACAATCTTAGCCCATTCTTGGTACAAGTTACTTCATTAATGCCCACAAGACTGTGTTCTGCAGAGTGTCTTAAAGCATCCAGTCTTCTTGGAATCTGCCTTTTAGATTTAATCACACTGAAAAAGGGATATACAGATTTATCTTCAAACTAATGTGTTATGAGCACTAAGTTCAAAAAGGGTAATGAGCAGATGTTTCTGTTACCTTTCTCTGGGAAGAGTGATAAAGTCTAATAAAGATGTCTGTACATCTTCTTTATGGTATTTCCTCAGGTGCTGCCAGGTTTCTAATTAAGGAACTTTCCTACCACAACCTGGAACTGGAACGAAACCGCTTGGAGGAGCTGGGAGTGAAGCGCCAGTGCGTGTGGCCCTTCATCGTGGTCATGGACGACTCCTGCGTCCTGTGGAACATGCACAGCCCCCACGAGCAGTCCAGGTTGGTACCCACCCACGCTGGCTCCTTGCGCTGATCCAGCACTGCCAGCAGCACATCTGGGACCGAGGCTCACCTCCAACATCTGGCAGGGATGCCAACATCAGAGCAGTAGGAAGGCACTATGCTCCTCTTGTTGACCACCAACATTCAGTGCAACACCTGCTGTTGAACACTTCCACATGACTGTGCCCTTACATCTGTGTCAGTACCTCCAACAGACCTCTCTGCTTGTGTTTGCTCTTTGCCTAGAGCCACTCTTGTTTCTAGCAACTGTTTGAGGGATTTTTCAATGCATTACTTTGTTTTGATTCAATTTCTGTTTCTCAGAGCAAACAGTTTATTTGGGGAACTTAGAAGGCATTAAGCTCTTGATCTTCTCACTGCTTACACTGTCCAGTACAGAGAAAATAGCATTCCAAAAATTATTCTTTTCCCTTCATAAATTGCTGTGTAAGAATTTATCCTGCTGAAAGGCTCGTTTTCTGAATGGTTGCCCTGATGAGGGCAAAAATTAGTTGCCTGTTGCTAAAAAGTCTTCATTTCCATATATATTTTTACAGCATCTGGAATAAATATTCTCAGTTGTCAATGGAATTTTTTGGTCCTTTTTATACACACACGTGTAAATATATGCAGTGTATGTAATATAAAAATAATAAAATATGTTTGTGTGTTGTGTATGATCATGTTTTGCAGCCAGTCTCTGGAGCCTGGGAGTTTCAGCAAGAATGTGTCTTTGAAAAGTGTCCTCCAACACATTGAAGCCACCCCCAAAATTGTTCATTTTGCAATACTGGGTGTTCAGAAGTGGAACAGCAAGCTGAACACCAGGAAATCCAAGGCTCCGTTCTCCAGGTGCCACGTGCGTGATTTTATACTGCTCAACATAGACCTGACCCAGAATGTGCAATATGACCTAAACAGGTAGGCAGTACATGTGTATCTGGGGAAAAATAGCATATTGGCTTGATAAGAAATTTGTCACAATGTTTCTGAATGCTGTTCAGATAAACAGAAAGATTCTACCTCAGGTAATGAGTGCACAATCACAAAAACAAAACACAGCGTGATGGATGTTTCATCTGAATAAGTAAGGCATCAAAATAAAACTGCTATAAGCCAAAAAAACCCTGAGGGAGACAGATCAAGGGCAAGGAAGGGCTTCAGAGGACTGAAAAAGTGAGGAAATAAAAAACCCGAGGAGAAAAAATAATTTGGATACCGAAAGTACAAGAAAGAAGCCAAAATGGCACCAGTTACAGGAAGAATGGGGAGTTTCCAGAGTGCCTAGAAGGAGGGATTCCTTGTATTTCCTTCAGAGATAGTTGTCCTCCCTGCTGTCACTTGAGTTTGCAAGAAAAACAGATGAAAAAATTTCTATTTCCTTCCTCCCCCCACCCCCCACCTAACTTCATCCTAAAGCATTTGCAATAAAGCACCCATCTGATGGTGCTTTATTGGCCATGATGGGCCTTTATTGCTAGCTGTCATCACAGATTGAAGAAATACCCAATTCTTCTTCTTCCCAGACAAGTGAGCTCCAAATAAACCCTGTCTCTGCTGCCCATAAATGGCCCTGGGGTTTCTCACCTTGGGCTCCTGCTGCTGTTTTCAAGGATCCTGTGTGTTTCAGCGAGGAACTGTAGCCTGTCAGTGCAAGCTGATGTGACTTTTGGAGCTCTTGATTTCACATTCTGTGTCAGGTTGAATCATGAAGTGGGAGTCAGCCCATAAAAATGAACAACATCATAAATAGTGGAGGACTAAGGTTACTTCCCAGCAGCTTTTTCTCTCATAGCCAAGTATTTGTTAAAGCCTAAAGCCATATTTTTGCCTTAATTCCAGTTTATGGAGAAATATGTCATATGGAACTGGCTTGTTAAGAAGTGGAGGTTGGTCACTGCAGAGCTTCTGCCAAGTCCAAAATATGTAATACAAAAAACCCCAAACATAAAAAGAATTTAAAAAGAAGTAAAGGGTGGGGAGAAAATGACTGATGCCAGTATGTGATGAGCATGAGAGCACAAGCCAGATTTGGTGTGGGAAAGAAGCACACACTGAAAAGTGAAGACTAGTTTGGGTTTAGGGTGAGCAGCAGCTGCTTTCTTTGAACGGGAGCACATTGAAGGAATGAGTCTTCGGAACTCTGCAGAAAATTGGTAGTGGCACCATATCAGATGATCTCCAAAAATCTCTGCTGAGCCCATAGTGGTGCATTTCAGTAGGGAGTGTGTGAATGCTCGTGCACAGCAGCCACACAGCTGGTTTAGTGATCTTGTGTTTAATGCCCAGGTATTTCTGTGAAGATGTGGATTTCAATCTGCGGACCAACAGCAGCGGCCTCCTCATCTGCCGCTTCAACAACTTCAGTGTCATGAAGAAACATATTCAGGTTGGAGGACAAAAGGACTTCGTTGTTAAGCCAAAAATCATGGTAAGTCTCATGTACTCAAGGGGTAAAATCAGGAGTTGTTTTCCCTAGAAATAATGAATTCTCTAGTTCTTTAGATTTATTTTGTCCTTATTTGACATCAGACATTCGTGGCTTAATCCATGGTAGGGCTGCCACATCAAAAATAGAAAACAAGAAACATTTTGCTATTTATAAATTACTAAAAAAATCTTCCTAATCATTACAAGAAGGACTGAGATTGGGAAGAGTTTGGTCTAGCTTTTCAGTGGTATCTTGGACAGAGGAAGATTTTGCAGACTCTGTTCCAAAGCAAGCAAGTTGTACCAGAGTCAGTTTTAAAAATTCAGCACAGCCACAAGTTTCTGGTGTTTGCTGATTTGTGATAACTTTCAGTCCTTGCACTTCCTAACAAAAAGTGGGCTGAAGAAAGGCTCTGAAAACTGCAACCGTCTGAAATCCCCCTGGGAAATCCAAGTATTTGTAAAAATATATAAAATATTTTACACAGAGTATGTTACACCTATTCCAGCATTAAATGGAGGTGTATTTCAAAGGATTGTTCTTAATCTAGGAATCTTACAGTTTGTGTTCTTGGTGATTTTGAACACATCCCACACCATCCTCCTTTTAAATAACCACCTCCCATACCTCACAATTTAACTGACTAAACTCTGGGTTTAAGTATTTTTGAAGAACGTTTCTGATTTTCCTTTCCTTGTGGTTGCAGTGGAATCTGTAGTGATGGACTGGCCTATGAGAAAACACCATAGAAAACACTTTTTATGGATGACTCCACACAAGGAGTATGTAATTTCATATAATGCCCACAAGTAAGGCAGGATGAAGGCCACTGTGACAGTTTGAACTCCACATTTTATGTCCCTTCTTTAGGCAAGCAGATATCCACAGAAGTATGTAGCAAGCACAGAACAAGGAATTAATTTATTTCTGTGCTTTGGTGCTGTGTGAAAATTGAATGGGGAGTTTTGATCCTTTTGTTCTTCTTCTTTCTCGTTCTGCTCTGTCATGTCAGTCCTTTCCCCAGTTAGTGGAACTCCAGCAGAGCAAATACACAGAGTAGGAGGGTTAAAAGGGCTTCCCCTTGGTTTCACTGCAGGTCTCAGAGAGCGTGGCACCAATAATGCCTCTTCAGTATGTCTGTGCCCCTGACAGCGAGCACACATTGTTGGCAGCCCCGTCTCAGTTCCTCCTGGAGAAATTCCTTCAACACGCAACCTACAAACTCTTCCCCAAGGCCATTCACAACTTCAAGAACCCGGTATTGGCCATCGACTGCTACCTGAACATCGGGCTCGAGGTACAAGAGATTTGCAGGGATGATGGAGACAAGGAAATGCAAAGCTTTACTTCAATATCTTTGTTGTGTTGAAATGCCCTTCCTCAGCATCAAGGGTAACGTTTGAAGACTTTGGTCTCAAACAGATTCTGCTGCTGGAAGTAAAGCACCAATCCATGGGAGCAGCTGGTGGTGAAGCCTTCAGCTGGCTGGTGTGGGTAGAGACCAGAGGTCTGTGATGGATTAATGTGACTGCTGGACTGTGTCAGGTCCTGCACTTGGGTCCCACAACTCCATGCAGTGCCACAGGCTTGGGGGAGAGTGGCTGGGAAGCTGCACAAAGGAAAAGACCTGGGGGTGGGGCGCTGGTTGACAGCATCTGAACATGAGCCAGGGTGTGCCCAGGTGGCCAAGAACACCAATGGCATCCTGGCTTGGATCAGCAACGCTGTAGCCAGCAGGACCAGGGAGGGGATCATTCCCTTGTACTCGGCACTGGGGAGGCTACACCTCAAATCCTGTATTCAGGTTTGGGCCCCCTTAATCCAGGAAGAACATTGAGGTGCTGGAGCATGTCCAGAGAAGGGCAGTGAAGATGGGGAAGGGTCTGGAGCACAAATCTGATGAGAAGGAGCTGAGTGGGCTGGGGGTGTTTAGCCTAGAGAAAAGGAGGCTCAGGAGGGACCTTATCACTCCCTACAACCACCTGAAAGGAGGCTGTAGCCAGGTGGGAGTCAGCCTCTTCTGCCAGGTAATAAATGATGAGACAAGGGGAAACAACCTCAAGTTGTGCCAGGGGAGGTTTAGATTGGATATTGGGAAAAATTCCTCCATGGAAAGGTTTGTCAAGCACTGGAACAGGCTGCCCAGAGTAGTGGTGGGTTCACCATTCCAGGAGGTATTTAAAAGATGTGTAGATGTGGCATTTGGCAACATGGTTTAGTGGTGAACTTGGAAGTGCTGGGTTAACAGTTGGAGTCAGTGATCTTGGATCTCATGGATCAATGATAACAGTGGGATCTCGATGAGTGTAACATAATTCCATAATTTGCAAAGGAATTGGGCATGTCTGTCTGAAATAATATTTCATACAAAGCAAAACCCTGAAAGTGATGCCATTCTTCACAAATCCTGGTGTTCATCCTTTGATGCTTCTCTTTTTATGAACTTGTGTTTCAAGGAAATTCGATTTTTGCAAATAGGTTCTACATGTCTGTAGATGGGGAGTTTAGAATTTTTGAACGGTCTGGAGCCGGGTCAATGTCTAACAAAGGTGTTGTTCAGACAAATTTTATGGAGGTCAGTGGTATGATAGAGGAGACACCCTTTGTTATATAACAGCTATCACAGCACTGAGACGCAGGAGTACTTGGAACCACAAGCATCAGGATTTCCCCTACTTATGGAATTGCTTACTTTGACAAATGTATCCTTATTAGGATAACCTGTATAATCTATACAGTCATTATAAGCAGGTAATTTATAGAGGGGAAAAAAAAATCAAACTGAATTACACAGAGCCCTGAAATAATGTGTTGCAGACTTGGTGACCAAATTTGAATCTAGAGCTTTGTTCCATGTGTTTCTTCTTTGGGAAAGTTTGCTCAGTACTGCAATCTTGTTGGATTGGATTTTTATCAGAGCACCAGCTGACTTGCCTGTTACCACTAAGCTCTGTTCCATTCCATGTATGTCATCCTTAGACATTTCTGGGACAGAAAGCATTTCTTTCCCCCTTGTGTTTCAGGTGGCCATATGCTACATTAGCTCTCGCCCACACTCAGTCAATGTCAACTGTGAAGGGGTGTTCTTCAGCGGACTGCTGCTCTATCTCTGCGACTCCTTTGTCGGTGCAGACCTCCTCAAGAGGTTCAGGTTTCTCAAAGGTAATCTCACTTCTCTGCTGGGCATCCTGGGTGCCTCTCACCAACTAATAATAGTGTGGATGGAAAGGCAAAGGCAGAGGAATAAACAGCTGGATTAAGCAGTTCCATTATTTTCAGTTTGTTTTGGCACTGTTTTCAAAAGAAATAGATGGGGTGGTTTTAGAGGGGTGTATGAAACTTCTGTTCCTGTTGGCAGATAATCGAACCTCAGGTAAGCATTGATAAATGACATTCATTAAGTTATTTTAAAGTGACATCGCCAAGGATTTTGGAAATCAGGCAGTGAATTGTGCAGTCAGCAACTTGAGAGTTGGGAGCATAGATGTTACTGATGAGGATGGGAAATTCTGCTTTGGCAATCAGTCTATAATGGTAGTAAATCTTCAGTTCTGTAAATAAGGACAGCTCTTAGCTGAAGGATGATTTGGTCTGCCTCACCAGAACTTGATAAACCTTTTAAAAATCTTAATTTTTGTCTTAATGCTGGTAATTAGCAAAGTGCCAGAGGAATTCAGTAATGCTGAAGTGTGTTGCAGAGCTCCAGTGCAGTTGTGGTGGCACAGCTGAGCCATTTCCCTGTCTTGCCGACTGAGGATGGTGCATGTGCAGGGGGACCATAGGAATGGCTCAGCCAGTTCCAAGAACCACATTTTGAAGTTTGCTCCTGTGCCCTCTTGACCCAGGCAGGGACAGAGGAAGAAGGCACAAAGACACCCTGGGGATGTTCCTGAAGGTGTCCAGTTCTCCTGCTTATTAAATGATCATGTGTAACACCAGGTGGAATGAAGTTTCTAAATTTGTTAAGCCACAGAAGAAATTACAGACTCTTTAGAGTGCTTTACCAAGGGCAGCACTCATACTTAAGAAAGTCAGTGGATTTTCTTATGTCAGTTGTGAGACTGGTTTGGTTTCATAGAATTTCATCACTGACCTTCTACAAACCTAAAAGTCCTATGAAATAAACAAAACAGTATGCTTTAATTTGAGCTTAATTATCAGTATTAATTTAAAGATCCAATTAATGTTCTCTCTGCTGCAGTTGATGATATTGACACTGCCTGGCTGTCAGGCAGTGACATCCTGTGATCCAAAGCACACCCCACACCATGCTTGTTTCTCTGTGTCTGTGCCTTCTTGGGAGTGGACACATTCGTTTCTGTCCTGAGGCTCAAAGGATTGATCTGAGCCTGGACTGGCTGGTGGTGATAGACCCTTGTAGTACTACTTCTTTCCTCTCTAGCAGCAGAGATTTCTTTAAAATATCTTAGGAAAATCAGTGAAGGAAATGAGTTGTTATTGTACCTTGAGAATCTAACATGCTTTTCAATTGAAGGTGCCACCCTGTGTGTCATATGTCAAGACAGAAGCTCGCTACGGCAGACAATAGTGCGGTTGGAGCTGGAGGATGAGTGGCAGTTCCGGCTTCGGGATGAGTTTCAAACTGCAAACAGTAGTGATGATGAACCTCTCTATTTCCTCACGGGACGCCACATATAAGCTTCGCTAACCGCTAACAAAGAAAAAAAAAGAACTTTTTTTTTAAAAAGTACAATCACTGTGGAGCAAAGTGCAACCAATATTTATCTTGACTGCTCTAAAGGATTCCCCGTGTTCTGAAGAAGCTTTATTCCTTGGGGTAAAATTACCACATTGGTTATGATTTAAAGGATCCTGGATTCCAGTTATTCTCATATCGTTCACAACCACCGACGCCAATCATACAGCCAACCAAGCTGTAGGATCTGGGAAGAGGATGTTGTTTCATCAAAGAAGAATCCTTTTTATATTCAGCTGAGTTAGGGGAAGAAGCTGCTTTCCTCTTGCAGCTGTAAGCTTGAATGTGTTACATGAAATGCACCCTAGCATGTGGAATTTATCGAAGATAGGTGGAGGAGAGCCCACCATGTCTCTTCAGCTCTGTGCTGTGGTACAGGAATACTCAGGGGTTTGAAACTACAATATAAAGTAGATATTTGTATTACGAGGAATAGTCTTGTTCTCTGTGCAGTGTTAGTTTAAAATTTGTAATTGTGTACGTATTGAAACTGTCTTTGGCAAAATTTCCACAGGTGTTCAAAGTTTACTACTTAAACCTGAACAAATGGGCAAACACGTGGCAGGCACTGTGCACCCTTAGCAATGGTATTTCGCCCCAGCAGGCTCCTCAGCTCCAGGGCCCAAAGCAAAAGGCTTCTCAGAGCTGCTCTCTCTTCAGTCAGAGGCCAGAGTAACTTCCCAGCAAATCACCCTCCGTTTCTCACTCTCCTCAGAGCTTTGGAAACTTGCGGTCCGTCCCCCTTTGCGTATTGGAAATGCATCCTCCTGTTTGTCCGGTGCCTTTGTGGTGGACTGCCTGCAACTCATTCTCCTTTTTCTTTACACTCGACTCCAGTTGGCTGCAGAGCTGAGATCAGGTCATACCCCTGTATGAAGCAACACACCAAGAAATGTGCAGGAGTGTAACAGTGCCTGAGCTGGACCCAAGAGAAACAGAAAGTATTCTACAGTAGCTCCTAGGGGGGGAGCAGAGGAGAAGTCCCAGGGAGCTGGGACTGCTCAGGAGGGACTCTCCAGAAGCAGAGATGTGTGATCACATCACCTGAAACCATCATCCGTGTACCTCTGTAAATACTGGCTCTGCAGCAGTCACACACTGTTGTATTTCCAGCTGCAATACTGATCCTCGTGAAGGTGTTCCAGGATCAACTCGATGCCGTAGCATTTGGCTGTCAGAGGTGTATGCAGCAGTGCTCTGTTCCCCTCACGCTTAGCAGGTGTTGTCTCCCTGAGGTTTACACACACATCCCCCAACAATTGTCTTTCTGCACATCTTGATCCCCCCTTTATCAATAAGAAAAATGCAGAGTGTTCTTAAAGGCTATTCAGGAATATGAATTTACTCCCCCAAAAAGCAATGAAATTAATGCATCTTTATACCTGACCTGCAGTCATTGCAGAAGGACCTGCCAAAGCTGCATTTTTTTTTAAGGCATAGTGTTAATTAAGCAACTTTTTTTATCTTGTGAAGAGATGTTTACAGATGAATAAACATAATATATTTGACAGAGAGCCAAAGGAAAATGGTTTGCATATGTCTGTGTTGATGTAGCATTATTTCTGATGCTGTAAATTTAGCAAATTTCACATGAACAACCCCTTTCAGTAATTTTTTTTTTATTTTCCTTCAGATACAACCTGCCTTACCTATTTTAACACTGGGAAGACATAGGGATATAAAAAATTATTTGTTTGCTACATGCCTGAATGTATTCCAGTAGCTCTGGTTTTGCCAGAGGGCTTAAGGCCAGCCCCCAGTCTTAGCACGGTGTAGAAAAGTGTCAGGTATTACATGTTCAAAAATGGTTTCCTTTTTGTTCATGTATTTGATGTTTGCACTAAGTTCTTAAAATTCCAGGTGCTGAGACTAGCAGGAGGAGCTAGCCCACTGGTGGAGCAGAGCAAAATCATCCTGAGGGCTGAGAGTGCATTTAGAAAATCAGTGTATTTGCCTGCCTTTACCAGCAAATAGTAACCCATTTCCTTAGTGCTGTCCCCTATGGAAGCAAGGAGTTTTGGTAATGCTCTGGCCAGAGTGCACTACACCAGCCCCAACACCACAGGCCTGTCCCATGGGACACTTTAAATTGGCTGCCTGTGAATTCCTGGCAAGGAGACCCTTGGCTGACAGGCACATGATTGCTATTCCATTTTGGTTTTAAGCCTTGCCATTAAGGCCATTCTTATGAATGTATGAAAATTGGCCAGCGTTATATTTTACCTGTAGATGTTCTTGTCTATTCACAGGTTAAAACTGAATGTAAACTAAGATTTAAAGAATCATATGCAGATGCTTTTTGCTTAACTTATGTAATTGCTTTTTGTGACTTTTGGAAGAGGGTTAAAAACGTTGCTTTCCTAGTGTAAAGTTTTCTTAACCAAAAACTTGGTGAATCTAGCTTCACTAGTCAGTCTACCTCATGTTATTGTTTATGAACTGAAACTGTCTGAAGTTGTGGCTATGGTATGTTTATAATGTGCTTTCATTAAATTTGAATATATTAAGTTACCATTTCAGACTGTCTCTCTCTTAATGGGTCCTGCTCTTCCTTTCTGAGCCCTCCATAGAGGATTGCTTCCAGAGTTCCTGTGCACCTGCACCACTTTCCTGACAAAGCTCTTTACAGGCTGCTCACAATCCCCTGAAAATGACGTGTGGCAGCTTGGAAACAAACAGCCTCTGCAGCCCACAATTCAGCACTGTTCTGCTACTCCAGCTTTAAGTACTCTTGAGTATTGTTTGGGATGTGGTGCGAGGTCTTTGCTACAGCTCTAGACCAAGGCTAAGGCCAGCACACCATGAACAAGTCCCTCCTGACTGCACACAGGTTCCAAAATTGAAACAAACACTAAGTTTAACCGTAACTAAATCTTTCCCATCTTCCATTAGGGTTTTAAACTGTTACTCAAGACTGAAGGTATCCCTGCTCACCTTACTACAAACCTTGCATGAAGATGGTCTTGATCCAGAGCTCCTGGGGGCCTTGATCTTCTATATTATGTTATGTTTTTCCCACCGAGAAAAGTAAGAAATAGACTAAAGATTCATTCACACTCAGTATTGTACAGAGTAACTTTAGAAAAGCTATCAAGTATTTTATTTTTAATCTATCTACATTATGTACAGATCAAGAAAGGCCACAGCAGTTTTTCAACATACAAACCCTTTGAAAGAGGAGAGATTTATGAAGGAGCGACAAGTATCAAAGTGAAGTCCACTAACAAAGGTATATACTCAGTACAATACTTGAAGAATGACGAGTACACCAGTCCTTGGGCTTTTCATTCCACCTTTTACTCCAAAACTAATCTGGGGGAGAAGGGGACAGGGGCCACAACAAGATTCCAATGCTGCTGCCAGGGCGCAGGCACCCTGACACGGAGCAGGGTACAGGGGCACCCCGGAAGGCACCGTGCAGCCTGGGAGGGCTGCACTGCAACACTTCCTGCCCCAATTGCACTGGGCACAGCCTGGAACTCTGTCAGACAAGTGCTGGTAGTGGGAGCTGGGCAGGAGCCCAGCACTCCAGTACTGGGAAGCACTGGTATATTACCTCAGTGAGAACTTCAGCATGTACTCGTCAGCCAGACTAGAGTCTTTGCATTAGTTTACAGTCCACTATGAACAATTTTCTGCTGCATGTAAACATGAATAACTAGATAAAATACAATCAAACTTCTGTAAAAGTTAATAAAATATCTTTCTTTTAAAAAAACAAAGTTAGCCTATTACTGCATTGTTTACAATTTTAATAAAATAGTACAACCGTTTGGTTGTTACCAGTCCTGAGTTCACTGTAATAAAAATGGCCCTGGCTTCTGCTGAAGGTCTGCACCCACTCCATGCAGTTTGGCAGAAGTCTCCAATAAAAATGGAATTCCTGCAGAGCAGTTAAGTCTGGTGCTGTCCATTGAGGAAGTTGTATACCAGGAACTGGCCAGTGCCACAGTACTGTGTTGCAAAGAGCTTTCCATCAGGAGTGGGGTCAGAGAAAGCAATTTCTTCCTTGCTTAAGTATGAGCCATATATGAAGTTGCTCCTGTTTAAAAGAGGGGGGAAAAAAAAAAGATAATTACCCTCAGAGAATCATGAAAAATATTTATGCTATTAGGCAAAAAAACATTAATTAAGTGGCACAGACATTCAAAAGGAAGAAGTTCTGTTAGGAGGAGATTCATAGGATCCTTTTCATAGGATTTATCTCCTCCTTCCCAAGAGCAAGGAGGACAACTTGATCTGGGAGGGGGTTTTATAAGGGTCTGCTCTTTTAGAAAGAATATTTGTACAGTACAATTGCATCAAGAGTTCAAATTCAGAGTTTAAATTAAAACGTTTGAATTCATTCCGAAGATTTTTTAATAGAAAAGAGACCACTAGGGCTGTGACTACAACAACTAGGAACGAAAACAAGCTATGAATCAAGTTGGGGTGCTTATGGAGGGGCTTCAAGGGACCAACCTCTAGGCATAATTCCTAAATACACATTCGGTAATTAACTACACAAAAAGAAAGAATCAATTAACTTATTCATGGAGAGTATTTCCTGTCTGTTTTAGTCTTATTTGAAGGGAGAGTGGGAATCAAGTGATAGCATTCTAGTTCTCTGGCTGGCAGTGTGAGCAATTTTAGAAAACTGAATTCAGGGTTTAAGACCTCAACTGGTCTTAAGGGGGAGGTGTTATTTTATCCTTAGAAACAAAAGAAACTGCCTTTAGACTTAAGTTCTTTAGTTTCCATAAAATAACCAGAGATGTACTTGAAGAGCAAGCAGGAGCTTCACTCATATAGATGTCACCATTAAATACTGAGGAAAAGATAATGAGACAAATAATTTTTAATTACTACCAGCTTTATTCTCTTCTCTTTCTTGTGTTCAGAAAGATGATTTTGCAAGGTTAAGACTGACTGGATTTCTGTGACTCCAAGGTACTGTGAAAGCCTGAGTGAAATAGGGCAGACATTCTCAAAATGAACTTCAGTCTGTTATGATGCCTTCAACATTTTGAAGTCAGGATTTAGCTGGTTACCAATATTACCTCATTCCAAGTACCTTTTGCTATGCAAAAGGTTTAGGTTTAGGCAGCTGAGCAGATATAACTGCTTCCTGCCATCCCAAAGCAAGTCTCACTCCTTTCCTTTGCCTTCTGTAACTTCCTAGGCTCCCTCATGTACACCAACTCTAGAGCTCATCAGACCCTTCTACAAACCAACGGAGCACCAGAATAACACAAAACTTTTCAGTGAATACAGCAATGAGCTTCTGGAAGGCCAAGCAAGCACCAGAGCACAGTAAAAGGGGAGGTGCTGTGCACAGTTAAGAGAAAAACTGAGGCCTCACTATCTGCAACAAGTCATCAAAACTGATTCTGAAGTTCCTTTAGGGCTGTAGCTGAGAAGTCACTTCAGCATCATTTTGGGAGAGAAATCTTTCCTTTAGAAAACATTTAGGTTTAGGCAGTTGAGCAGATATAACTGCTTACTGTGCTTTCTGCCATCCCAAAGCAAGTCTCACTCCTTTCCTTTGCCTTCTGTAACTTCCTAGGCTCCCTCATGTACACCAACTCTAGAGCTCATCAGACCCTTCTACAAACCAACGGAGCACCAGAATAACACAAAACTTTTCAGTGAATACAGCAATGAGCTACTGGAAGGCCAAGCAAGCACCAGAGCACAGTAAAAGGGGAGGTGCTGTGCACAGTTAAGAGAAAAACTGAGGCCTCACTATCTGCAACAAGTCATCAAAACTGATTCTGAAGTTCCTTTAGGGCTGTAGCTGAGAAGTAACTTCAGCATCATTTTGGGAGAGAAATCTTTCCTTTAGAAATAGTTGCTAGGAAGCTACAGAACACACTATTAAAAATCTGCCAAAAACATAAGCAAATCATCAAGTTAATATATTTATGTGAATACAGCTTTACCGTCAATAGGTCAGCCAAAACATAATCTGACCATGATTTGCTCCACCAGCTGGGCAGGATGAATTGTGCAGGGCAAAACCCCTTTGCTGAGTTCTCCAAATACCCAAGAGGGTGAGGACTGGCAGAGGCAGCAGTATCTGTTCTAGAAACTCCAACAAGATGAGGCAAGCACAAACCTGACAGCCCAGCCATCGTTAAGATTTAAGCAGTTCTTGCCATTACTTAGAACTGACATTTTAACTTCTTGGAAAGAAACCTCAGGGGTCGTGTTTTTCCCTTTCTGCCCGCATTCTCCACCAAGAAGGTAGGAGGAGAACCAAGGGTATATATACCGAGGAGAAAACCAATAAAGGGCCTTTGGACCGTCTATCACATTGATGTCTGCGTGTCCTTAGCCCGAACGGCCCAAAAAGCATTGGGTCGTCGTGCTGCTTTTCCTAGGAACCAGGTCGCTACGCCTTATATCTTAAGGCAACACCTCAGGTTTGGAGATTCAACATTTTTAACATTTATCTAGACAACAGCACAGATGTTTGAGTCCTTTTTATGGACTCAAACATTCAGCTGGAATACACTCACCACTAGCTACTAAAGCTCCATGGAAATGGAAAATATCCACAAGGTTCAGTGAACCTGAGTATATATAAAAGAACTAAAACAACAGCTGGAACCACCAGACTAGATCCAATAGTTTGTTGCACTGGGTCTCTGTTGCTTCCCACTTGCTACCTCTAAATAATGGACAATCATCCAATGGCTGGGTCCCAGTCCATGGGTAATGTCACACTTTGTGACCAAAGACAGTCCTATGTCCTTTACTCATAATTACTGTGGAGGAACTTCCCCCGGGAGTCTGCCAGGGTGACTCATTACAATTGCACTCAAAGATTTCTGCGAAAGACAAACTGTAGAGTACTGACATTGGTTACTGAACTCCATCTAATACTGGAACTGCCAACTGTGCTCAAATCCATATCCCCAGAATCACCAGCAGCTGCAAATACAAGCTTGAGACACACAAAGCAATCAATGTCTTGCATGGAATTCTGTGTAAACCATGTGTAGCTGAGCAATGTTTCCCTCTTACCTGAGACACTCTATCATCCGAGAAGCGATCTTCTTCCGGCGCATCATGCTGAACACCCAGATCCGACTGATCCCGCAGATGGCGGGTTCTGGAGAAGTGGAACAGCACCAGGCTTTCTGCCTCTCAAATATCACTTTCTCATTTTCTGAACTGATTTCTGGAACTTTCTCTTCTATAACTCTGTAGCCCTGCAGATGATGTAAAAAACACGCGTCATTATAAAAGCATCACTAATGACTAAAGAAAATAATTAATGTTTGATTTATTTCAGTTAAACATACCTGGCTGCTAAAATGCCTTACCAAAAACACTGTATTTCTGCAACTCATTTAATTTCTCGTAACAGTTTCAAAAATCAAGCAAATTATAAAAGATTAAATAAAGCAAAAACCCTCTGAAGTTTTTAAAACTTAACAGCAACAAATAATCCAATCCTTATTACTATCTGTATTAAAGCATTTGCATCAATTTCTCTAGCTTTGGCTAAGATTGTTTTGCTTGTTGTCTGATG